AAACTTTGCAAGTAAAAAATTCTAATAATAAGAACGTATGAAAAATATTTAAATGGACTAGAAAATAAAGAAAAAACCTTTTTGTGCGAGAGTCTTCTACGAGTATGGATTTCAACTCTCAATGAAAGCACCAATTTGTGGATGCAAATTTCTTCCTCCTTGATCTTGGACAATTTTGCACCTACAAAACAATTAACACCTTAGGTTAAGGCCAAGAGCCTCACGCGCCCACGATGAATGGGGGGGCTTTGGCCAAAGAACCTCCGATGCCAAAGTTAGAATTTAGAGAGAAAGAGTGTTTAGAGAATATTGGGATTTTTGCCAAAGTGTTGGAATGAGTTTTTGGTGAAAATAGGAACCTATTTATAGGGTTAGGCTTGTCCATTTTTTTAGAAGAAATGGCCGGCCTTAATGGGGATTTTTAGGTTGAAATTTTGGTTTAATTAGCCAATTTATTGGCTAATTAACCCTAAAGGAATAAATTGGTGATTACCAAATTGATTGATTTGCATAAATGGGATAATAAAGAGGGAAAAATGGAAAAAGGTAAAGAGAAAGGATGGTGACCGGTTTTGACTAGCTTTAGGGTTGAATTGGATGTATTTTGTGGTTAATTGGGTGATAAATTTGGTGATTAATGAATTAATTAGGAATTAATTCATTAATTAGCCAATTAATCTTTATTTTATGGGATAACTTATAGGTTATGAAGTAATTACCTATAATGAGGATGGATGAGATAAATTGGAATTGGTTACCTTTTTTGGAGCATTTTTGACTTGGTTGAGGATGATTGTCCGCCGCTCGCGCGTAGGAATCTCGGTATGCCTAAAGTGTATTTTTGTCCTCTTTTACCCAAAAATCCATGTGTCGCCTTGTGATTATTTTTGGCTCCACTTAGGCGATCTAGACGGACGCCTCAGCAAGTATAGACGCTATTTCTTAATCTTCAAATGCTTAGGTATTAATCAGGACGGTGACCAACTGCCTAACGCCTAAGCAGCGTTAGGCGGGAATTTTTAGAATAGTGGTTTTGAGATGAATTTTCAACTGGTATCAACAAAAACAATTTTTCTTTTGAAAAAAATTACATTCCAACGCCATTTCTTTGCAAGGTTGCATCGAAAAAAAGAAGGGAACTTTAATGAAAAGCACCCGGTACTGTTCACTTTAACGAAAAATCACATTTTTACACTAAAAGTCAATCATGGTACTATTCACTTTACCTTTTATTTTGTCCTTATCATTAAAACTCAAAGTTTTCAAACCCTTTTCATTAGTTTTCCTAAAAAAGAAAGAGCGGAATGGTGGTTTAAAGTCAGTACCATTTGTTAAAATTTTCTTTATTTATTAAAAAATTATTGATTGATCAATTACAATATTTAAAATATTCTGTAAGCTTTAATAAATTACCCTTTTTTCTTGAATGAATTTTTTTTTCTCTTCACTGGGCTTCTACCATTTTTAGGTGAGATATTGTCATTTTCTTTGTTTATTTTATAGAAGTGATAATGGGGGAGAGAAGATTTGAATAGAAACCTCATGCGAGAGATGTTTTAACATATTCGGAACACAAGCTGGAATATTATGTGTCACAATACACGTAGAGTGATGATATATTTTTTAGCTTTCTTTCATTTGTGTTGTGACGCGTGGTATACCGGCTTGTATTATGAATAGATAGAAAAATTTCTCACTAAATACAAAAGATAATGTTCTTAACCAACTAAACTACAAGCTCATTATATTGTCATTTTTCTTTTGATTGGGTAAAACTTTAACCCATCAACTAATTTGTTTGAGTATTTAGCAATAAACCTTCAATTTTAGCCCCAAAATTTATCTAAAAGTCCCATTTTGGGGTCTAACATTTGTTTTTACAAATTTCACCTAATTCTTTTATTTGGAACTATGTCATGTTTTGTTGGTATGAATGCAATGCACAGTTGTTCAAAGGCCAAATGTAACTAAATGCTTGTATAAATATTTGGAAAAGAATGTTCTCCGTAACAGTTACACACAACTATTTGTTGACGTCTCATATTACACACATTAGCCAACCGGAACATAATAAAGTTTACCAATTAGTTACTCTCTTTAAATATCAAATTGTCACAACCCGTCCCAAATTATTTCTATCGGTGGTGTGAAAAGATTAAAATGCCCTTGGACGTTGAGTGTGTTGTGTGTTTTAGCTTAATATTTTGACCCATTTAAATCCTTTTCCCAAATTTTTGGACTCATTTAGGATTTAAGTTTTTATGGGTGCCAAATCTAGACACACACACACACACCCACACGTGCAACTCACTCTCTCTCTCTCTCTCCCTTGAAATCTTTCTTTATTCATGCAATTGTACGGCCATTCACCATCCACCCTCAACTAGTCGCGGGTCGAGGTTGTGGATGTTGGTATCGTGCTTCTTTCAAGCTCAGGAGTCGAGTAGTGGTTTTGGTTGGACGTGAAACCCTCGGAAACCTAAGAACCAAAACCCCCGAAGAGGTGCACAGTGACTCCGTCGTAATTGCGGAGGTTTTAGTAAGTTTTAAGGTTCTAGGAAGCTTTAAGATGTCTTCACGAAGCTCGGGGAAGGAAGTTGGAGTGTTTTGGACGTCAGGAAGTCCCAGTTCGCGAGTTTCAAGTTTTGGCCGGATTATCGAGGTTTCTTCAGTGAGATTCCGTGGATTTTAGGGCTTAAAATTGGTAAGGTTTTGTTCTACTCGTTGTAAGCTTCATTTTGGTACAAATTTCATCGAATTTGGTTAAGTTTTGGATGAGATATGAAGTTTAGAATTTTTTTCCAGTTTCCGGCAACGGCGGCGGCGACGGAATCCGGTGACTCGCTGGAGAAGAAGACGAATATTCCGTTAACTTTGACGAAATATTCCTAACGGCGATTAACGGCGTCAGGTATTATTAACGGTATATGCTTATATTTAATGGAATATTCCCTAACGCCGTTAGGGAATCCATTCGGTGTGCCAGGCACGTGGGCCGCGTGTCTAGCCTTGCCTTGGCCGGGGCGTGAGGGCATGTGGGGTCATGAAATATTTTTCTAAAAATATGGGGATGTTCCTGAGGTTGAGTAGGTCATGGTGGTATATTCAAATACCCCATTTGAGCAATGTATGAGAAGTTATTAGCTAGTTTCGTTTATGTGCTTTAAATTAACGTTTATATAGTTGTTTTCGCATTAGGTGAGACCTATCCTGAGGATGAGTGCCATTTATCGAGCCTCGGGGGCTACGACCTTTCGACATATCAGTGAGTGGGCTTTTGGTTTTCCGTATATACTTATATACTTGAGATTTTCCCATAAAATGAATTTGAATGATTATACGTTTTGAAATGCCATGCAAAGTATCTGCCTATTTTATTTATGCATTAATAGTTGCATATAATTATGATTGGTGCTGCGGACGCACAGGTAAGTGTCAGGTAAGTTCATAAATTAAAGATATGAGATTGCTTTAGTTATGTGAGATGTGTTGAGAGCTCATAAACCTGCACTCCGGTGTTAGTGCTCCCGCCCAGAGTTAGGGCACAGTCCTTCACGTGATGTTTACCTCCCACATCATATGCTCATCTTGGATCCAAGTTAGGTGCACAGGCTTGTCGTACATACCATTATAGATGATTCCGACTCGTAGGTGACCCGCGATCATTCGCACAGTCTTCATGTGATCATAGCACTAGAGCATATTTATTTTACACCTAGTCTTGTCGTACATACCACTTTAGGTGGTTCCAACTCGTGTATATGATTTGATATGATTGAGATTGGTTATGAGCTATAGACTCAGCCGTGCAGATCACGTTAGGTGGATCCGGCTGATATGATATCTGGCATTGAAATATTTGAATTGGATTACTTATAGCATTTCTTTGAGATACTTTGGCATGGTATAATTCTATGGATTTTCATCTTGAGCATGATTTCTGATATAGCATATATTATATTTTTCTGGGAAATTATACAGGTTTTACGGCGAGAGGTTAGAACTTTTGAGAAATGAAATGATTTTGAAAAGCTTTGTTTTTGCCCACTCACACTTTCTGTTTTGCGCCCCTCCAGGTTTTAGGTAGAAATGCTTTGGTGGCTCACGGGGATTTCGACAGTGGTTCTGACAGAACATCATAAATGTAGGATCACCTTTGGATGTTGTATAATTAGTATTTGTCCTGCTTGACTGCACTTTGGTTATTTATGCTCTGGTTGAGTATTTCACACTTAATCTCGCACTAGCACGTTATCTTAGCTAGTACTGTTGTCAGTTTGGTTTTTATTCATTCGTATTTCTCTATATCATTATTGCTTCCGCACTATGCACATGGTAACATCACTCTCATGTGACGGCCATCACGCCTTGATTTATGTCGGGGTGTGTCACAAATGGTATGCGAGATTATTATTTTTAAATATCTAAAATTATTCAGAGTAGGAGTAAAATAGAATACAATCTAATAAAACTCATCGCCCTACTATAATCCCGTCATAAAATCAACCAAACACTTCCACTCAACTTATGTTTTTATAGAGCCTTGTTCATCAAATTGACATTCAAGCACCACCAATCACATTGTTAATCAAATTAAAGTGAGATTATATTTTTAAATTTTGAGATTAAAGTGAGATCTATTATATGTTCCAAAAAAGATCAATGGATGTGTGTGGCACAAAATAGTTTCATGTCTTTAAGGAAGGAAATTGTTATTACCACTTTAAAAATCTTATTTTACAGTATATTTTCTTTCTAATTATTGAAAATTTGAAGTTCAAAATGAAAGTTTTAGAGTACCAATAAGAATTCTCTTAAAAATTTGTTAACCCGTATTATCACCGGTGGGTCCCATAACCGAGCAAAACCCAAAAGGCCGATGTCGAAATTCCGAACCAAAACCTGAACCTCATCCTACAGACATTAAACTCCGTTAATAGTACTACGAGGCTAGCTTCGGCTCCGAACCTAAAAACCAGCCTCTGTTATATCTTCATTCGACGATTCCTTTTCCGCTTCTCTTTTCACTGTTATAAATCTAGAACGTCCCTCTCCCTACTTCAGTTACAATCTAAGAACAAGAGTCCATTAGTTTTCTCGGGAAAATTATCCACACTGTTTGAACTCGATTGAGCATGTAAGGTCTCGGATCACTCTAGCTGCGCGAAATTTCAATTTGTTTGGAGGATTTGAAATTTCAGTTTGTTTCTGTTTTTGTTTCTCAGTTTTGGTTGATTCACTGGTGTGGTTTTTCAGCTGAATTCTGATGGGAATTGTTAGAATTCTGTGATTTTTTTTCGGTTTTTGAGTTTTTGCTCTGTTTGGTTGCTCGGAAAATCCAGGACGATGGAGGGAGAAAATTTGTGAAGTTGTGCATTATCTAGTTTTGTATTAGTGACTCAAAAAAGTTCAATGTAATTCCTAAAGATGATAATTGAGATAATGATTGTGAACTACTCATAGTAACGGTTGAATTCCCTTTTTTTTTTACTGAAATTAAATTAAATTTATTTGTTAATTTAGTTGAATTTACTTTGATGAGGGAATCTCAAGCTATCGGTGATGAATAATTGCAGAAAAAAAAACAGTGACTTTGCTGGTGATTTCTTTGTTTGCTCTTAATAAAGGTAAAACATGGCGCAGAGTAACTGGGAAGCCGATAAGATGTAAGTTTTTGGTTTGATCATTTTTCCTTTCAATCTGCATGAATTTGTATATCGGTATTTTTGTTGTTGCTTTGTTTTACTGCCGTGAATTGATCGTTGGATCGATATTTATTGTTCACCCTACTGTTGATTTTGCTGTCTGCTGCAGGCTTGATGTTTATATTCATGACTATTTGTTGAAAAGAAAATTGCTTGCTTCTGCAAATGCGTTTATGACGGAAGGGAAGGTTGCTACAGATCCAGTAGGTAATGTTGCCAACTTTTAATTCATTCTCAACTCGCTTACTGATTATGTTATTTAGAAAATTCTGCTTAGCATGCATTTGCACAACAACATTTTGTAATTGTTGTGTATGCCCAGATTCGTTCATCGGGATGACATGTTTTGATAGTTTGTTTTTTTTTTTTTTTAAAGATTTTGTTGCGAATATTTTACAGTATATATGTTGAGTAATTTTCTGGAGAGTAAACCTGTTTTAGACTTGAATATGCAGCAATTGATGCACCAGGAGGATTTCTCTTTGAATGGTGGTCTGTCTTTTGGGACATATTCATTGCAAGGACAAATGAGAAGCATTCAGAGGCTGCTGCAGCTTACATTGAGGTTCCTTCATTTTGTTATATTTGGATTTTGTTATTTTAGAAATATCCTTTCAGGAAAAAAGAAATTTGTTGTTTGGAAAATTTTATTGCTTTCCTTCATTAGTATGTTTTCATGGTATGAAGGCACAGCAAATTAAGGCAAGGGAGCAACAGCAGATACAATTGCAGCAGCTGCAGCTGTTGCAGCAGCGCAGTGCTCAGTTACAGCGAAGGGATCCTAGTCATCCTCCTCTTGGTAGTGCTATAAATGCTATAAACTCTGAGGGTGTTATGGGGCAACCATCGGCCAGTGTGCTAGCCATGAAAATGTATGAAGATCGTATGAAACACCCTCACTCAATGGATTCAGAGGCTTCCCCTGCGCTTATTGATGCCAGTAGGATGGCCCTGCTCAAATCAGCTGCAAATCCACAAGGGTAACTTCTCCTTAGTTTTTGCATGTATTTGAGCTTTATTTTCATTCATTTCTTTCCTGGCCAGAATGGGTCATTCATCTGTTTGGTTCTTGTTGATTCAGCCAGTTGGTACAAGGCAATTCTGGGAACATGCCAGGTGCTTTGCAGCAAATCCAAGCACGAATTCCTTTAACCACTGTAACTACTCATTACCTTTACTATTCGTTCTTTTTTTTGTTCAAATATATTAGTTTTTTTGTCTCTTCTTTTCTCTTCTTTTCTAGCATACTGAGCAATTATTATGTGGACTTGTGGAGATTGTAGGACATCAAAAGCGAAGTTAGCTTAGGTGCAACTCAGAAAAGTTTGCCTATGGATCCTTCATCAATTTATGGACAAGCCATTTTACAGTCAAAATCTGGACTAAGCACTGCAGGTGATAACACTTGACGTTATCATTGTTAGATACAGCCCCACAGTTAAATATGATAATTATGCTCAGAAATTTCACATGTGAATGCTTCTTTCTTCCTTCAGGATTGAATCAAGGTATTACAGGTCTTCCTTTGAAGGGTTGGCCTCTAACTGTAAGTTATATATGGCTTTCTCTTCTTGGTTGTTTCTTCTATCTAGTGTGGATTTAACTCTTTGTTGCAAAACTACTCCATAAACCATAATACAGGGAATCAACCAGTTACGACCGAATTTGGGTGTACAAATGCAGAAGCCAAATCTTCAGACCCAAAATCAGTTCCTTTTGGCACCTCAACAACAGCAAGTTTTGGCACAAGGTAATTCCACAAGTTACGGAGATATGGATCCTCGCAGATTTTCTGGACTGCCTAGGGGTGGCTTGAATGCAAAAGATGGTCAATCTACCAGAAATGATGGATCAATGTCCTCTCCAGTTTTATCGAGTTCACCAAAGGTAACCTTTCTGATGTATCTGTTAGGGACACACTTAGACAGAAAGAGTTGAAAATTTGTTATTACACTGTTGTGCACAAATATGATAGTCTTTACCTTCCTAACTTTTGCATGTGGCGTTTTTATTCAACAATGATTAAGAAAAGTATTCTAAATTTGGCATGCTATACTTGCCCAAGAATAATGAAACTTCCGGGACTTAAAGTAGGGCATACATGACCCCTTTGTGAATGTTGGGGTCCTATAGTTTAAGATGCTGTTAAATCTATTGCCGTAAATGCTTCTGCTCTATTTTCTGCAAATTTTGTCCTTTCGACTTTTAATGAGTTTCACTGGTTTGATCAATCATTATTTCATGTGATTTCTGACTTTGTCTGTTGACATTTATTGTTTCCAAAAAATTTGATCTTTGAAAGGTGCAATTTTCTTTATTTGAGGCTTTTGTTGGTGTTCAACAGATAAAAATGGCTCAGATGCAGCACCCTTCCTCTCAACAACATGAACAATTACCACAACAGCAACTACAACAGGTTGTGCATAGTTATGCAGACTTAAACTTTGTACTCTTTCTGTATGTCCTTGGTTAGGGATCCAAGTCTGGGCAAGGATAGCGTTGCTATCTCTTCTTTACTAGTGAGCTGATTACGAAATATTAGCTGTTTAAGAGAACCAAATTTTAGACAACACTGATATGATTTCTGCTACAATTATATGCCTTTTGAATTAGGGCCTGAAGAAGTTTTGGATAAGCTGATAAACATCTATTGATGTTTTTTCTGCAGAAAAACAGAAAGAGGAAACAACACTCTTCCTCTGGACCTGCCAACAGCACCGGCACAGGAAACACTGTTGGCCCTTCACCCAGTTCGCCAGCATCAACTCACACACCTGGTGATGGAATTAACACAGCCAATAGTATGCAGCAAGTCAACAGTATGCCAAAAAGCTTGATGACGTATGGTCCAGAAGGAACAGGACTTCCGTCATCTTCCAATTTACTGGTATGCTGAGTTGCTGACTTTAAATGTAGATGTGAAGAGTACTTGAGCTGCCAATTTAATTATAAGTTTTCTCAAGGTTTCCAAAAAAATTTTATGCTGTCTGTAAACAATGCCAAAAGGCTTGGTTCTATAGTTGAGGAATCACTATTATGATTGCGTTTTGAGTATCAAATTTCTTTGATATTTTATGGGTGCTGAAACGGAGAAGGTAGAAAAGCCAGAGTGACTCTTCTTCTAATAGCATTGTATTTTGGCAGGATGATATTGAACGATTTGGAGATGTTGGTTCTTTAGAAGACAATGTGGAATCATTTTTGTCTAATGATGGGGGAGACAGGAGGGATCTGTATGGGACATTAAAGCAGAGTCCTAAACAGCACCAAAAAGATTCTTCTAAAGGTAACTTGAGGTTTACACATTGTATTCAGAGAGTTGCTCAAGTTTCTTCACTGTACCTAAGCTGTGGCCGCAATGTCCAATTCAGGTTTTACATTTGGTGAAGTTGGCTGCATACGGACCAGAACCAGCAAAGTTACTTGCTGTCACTTCTCTTCAGATGGGAAGTTGCTGGCTAGTGCTGGACATGACAAAAAGGTATGTACATGGTATAAGAAGACATTCAAATTATATGTATACATATATATATATACACACACACACACACACATGCATATCGTTCGCACGAAAAGTATTATCTACTGGATTTGACAGTTTTTATAAGTTTCAACGTCAAAAAGTCTGTTCTACACGAGTGTGTTCGCTCGCACATGTTTTAAATTTTAATGAATGGAGAGGTCATAAGCTAAAAGTGGTAAATAGATACTGCTGGGTCAGTTAATATAACGATTTAAATGCATGTAATGAAGATGCATGATTGAGATTGGAGGCTTGAAGGAATGAGAACAATTAACATTTGCCATGTCATATGCACCAGGTTGTCCTCTGGAACATGGATACTCTGCAGACAGAGAGCACTCCCGAAGAACACAAGTTAGTTATCACAGATGTTCGGTTTAGACCAAATTCATCTCAGCTGGCAACAGCTTCAGTTGACAAATCTATACGATTGTGGGATGCAGCCAATGTAATTGTCTTTACTCTCTTTTATGTATGGTCTGAGCTGACAAGGGTGTACCTCAAGATGTTAATAATTTAAGATTTTTTCTTATTCTCTTGTTACTTAGTCGTTAGAAACCTTATTTTACAGACTACATAGTTTGTGTGTGCATTTTCATCGTACTAGCGTTGTTGACTTATTAATCTTATTGTGGCAGCCAAACTATTGTTTACGTGCATATACGGGGCACAACTCACCTATCATGTCCCTTGACTTCCACCCTAAGAAGACTGATTTATTTTGTTTCTGTGATCATGACAATGAAATTCGGTACTGGAATATTAACTCATTCTCTTGTACTCGTAGTTCAAAGGTTTGTAATCTTCTGTTCTTTCCTTCCAAGTTAAGGGTTTTTTTATTTGTACGAAAGCTATAGTCACCCTAAAATTGTCTTTAACATTTGGGGCAGGGAGGAACTGCACAAGTGAGGTTTCAGCCAAGAACTGGACAACTGCTGGCAGCAGCCTCAGATAAAATGGTATCCATCTTTGATGTTGAAACTGACAGGCAAACGCACTCGTTCCAGGTACCATGTCTGTAAATGTGGGATTGACTAACTGAGATCCTGATTAATATTAATCTTTTGCTTTGGGGACAAGTGATTAGGTATTAAGAGTTGTATAATTAAATCATCGTTCTCAATCTCAGGGGCACTCTGACATGGTAAACTACATTTGTTGGAATGCAAATGGAGAATATCTGGCATCTGTCAGTCAGAACTTGGTGAAGATTTGGTCAATATCTTCGGGAGAGTGTATTCAGGAGCTCGGCTCTAACGGCAACCAGTTTCATTCGTGTGTTTTTCACCCAAGTTATTCAAATCTCTTGGTCATCGGAGGAAACTCGGTAATTTCTTAACCTCTTCTAGCAATAGCTTCGTAAACAAATAAAGTATTCATAGTAACTGCATTGACCATGGTAACCTATGGTTAGTATGTTGTTACGTAAAAAGGTAACTTATGCTAATAATCACCTTCATCCATGTGAGCTAGTCTTTGGAGCTGTGGAACATGGCTGAGAACAAGAGCATGACAGTGGCGGCACACGAGAATATAATCTCGGCTCTGGCTCAGTCACCTGACACTGGAATGGTTGCGTCGGCAAGTCATGACAGCTACGTCAAGTTATGGAAGTGAATTCAAGCTTAAAATCCTCCGAGAGCGCATTGGGGCGGAAATCTGGAGGGAGGACTGACTGGCAGATGGAATGTGCAGTGTTTCCAAGTAACAATCTTATATGGTAATGAGATGATCCTAGTTAAACCGCTTGACAAATAATGTAGAATAAGATTTTTTTTTTCTTATCTATGGGTTTAGATCTTCTGTCTTAATATAATCTTTTAATTTTAGTGTCTAATATAATCTTTTAATTTTAGTTTATATGTTATTAAACATTTTTGTGTGTGTATTATTTAGGTTGGTTTGTGGTTGTGGTGCTTCTAAAAAAGTAGCTTATAAGAATCTGGAACACCAAATGTGTTTCGTAAAAAATAAAAAATAAAAAAATTGCTTTTTTTAAAGAAATTGTTGTTAATTACAGTAGAAAATCATAGAAAAGCGTAAGCAGAGTCTATCAAGCTTTTAAAAGAAGTGTTTTTTTTATGTTTTTTCAAAGCATAATGAATAGTGCTAATTTAATGAAATTTTCAGATGATAAGTATAGGAATTATTGTTATAATTAAGCCGACGATTGTATGCGACCCAAACTTGTTAGAGCAGCTCCAGTGGGAGCTTTTGCTTGATGGACAAGCTTCAGCATAGGGCCTGATTGCCTGAGGAAGGAAGTCCAACGTTGGCTAGCGAGAGAGCCTGAGTAGGCTCGAGCGCCAGGCCTGTGGATTCGTGTCGGGCCGAGCGCCTGAGGTGGTTCTGGCGTCAGCTGACATCAGACGTCTTTTTTAATTTTTTTTTTGTCAGGTTTTGGACTAGTGAGGCTGAAAACGAGGAAATTGCAGTTGGGTGCGTAGAGGCGGGTGAGGGCGGAGGATATGGAGGTGAGTTCCGACGAGGACATGTGGGGTGCTGACGAGGTGTTTGATGATGAAATGGCGTATTGAAGAAGTACGTCCAGGACGGTGGGCGGGAGGGGGAGTACAGAGGTGGGGAGGGTTTGGGGGATGGTGGTGCTGATAAGAGTGAGGGTGAATGCGAGGGTGAAGGAGGTGAAGAAGAAGAGGAGCCACATGTAATGGCTTCCTCCGTTTGTGGATTGCTTGGGGGTGGAGGAGAATAAGCTTTGTGTTTGTGGTGGCGTTGTTGGTGGTCTTCATTTCAACAGAGAGAGAGTCAGATGCTACTCTTTGCTTTGTCTTTTTTTAATTATCTTGGTATTATTTTATATATAAAAAAATACTATTATTTTATTGTCTATTGCCAGGGCTATTGAAGTGCAACGGTGAAGATGCAAAAGATGATTATTGTTCATTAAGAGCAATTACTATTCACTAGGTGAATAGCATAGTATATTACCTGGGGGGAGGGTTCCCACGCTAGAACTTCTCATATCTCTATGATTGATATTCTTGACACGAAACATAAACATAAGACTATCATTTGAATCTGTGTCGTGTCATACATTGTTGTACCGTAAAAAGAACTTCAATGGTTGTACGACTCCTCTCCTACACGTATGGTCAGTGTACAATATTGGCTTCTTTTTTTTCTTTAAATGAAAATAGAAAGTATTTTAAAAATGAAAATAGAAAGTACATAGAGCATCTGGTAATTCCGTGGGTGGTTAATTAAGTTACCGCAAGCCATCCTATCATGCTTATGCTAGGAATATGCAATTATCATACATGCAACTTTGCGCTGAATGTAATAATTATAAATGAAATACATATTTTTTTAAACCATGAAATATGATGAGCATGTTCAAAGCATAATATTGATCAAGATTACAAGCTAAATGAATGTAATTTAAAATTGCGATTACAATAAAAAAAAGGTCCTACACAGAGGGGGAGAACTCAAAGCTACCAATACGAGAATGCCGTGATGCTAGGGTTGTACGCATCAATTCTAAGTCCTCAAAGAACCTCAAAATAAAAGTGAATGAACCAAAGTTTATAACATAATAAGTAAAACCACTTTTTTTTTTTTTTTTAACGTACTAACCCTCATTTTTGTTGAATTTTGATACATCCACGTCAGAATTATTATATTACGTCATTTGCATGGTATCCCTCTCTCTGTGACTTTCATTTTTCATATGACAAATTAATCCAAAAGTTTTCAATATCAATTTCGGTAAAAAAATCCCAATCCGTGTATTAGTTCTCTCTTCCATTTTTCCCAATCTCAACTTTATATCTCTCTTTTTTTCCTCAAATCAGCAGAAAAATTGAAGGAAACAAATGTAGCCCATAACAGAAATTAAGCAAAAAGCAAATGGAGTTGTAAGGTTTCTTTTGGGTTTATTGGTTTAATTAGGGTTTAACGGTTTAGGTATAAGGTGAACTGAAAAAAATAGGACAAGGAGGAAGACGATCTGAAAAGGTGGAATAAATGGAGAGAAGAAAGAGTTCCAGATAATTCAAAGTGATAAAATTGTGGGATTATTCATTACTGTTTGGATTTCAAAGTGGACATGATTTGAATCTAATGGTGGTCATGATTATTCATGGGTTTATGGGATTCTAGGTTTATGAATATGATGATATGAAGAACAAACGAGGGAAAGTCGTGGAAGAGAACAAACATGAAGGAGAGATGCGATACAGTGCAAACGGTGTGATAAAATAATTCTGATATGGATTGATACAAACTCCTAGATTAATACGATAGTTAAGATTTAGCTAAATGCGTGTCAATTAATATGTGGAGACTGGGGATCCAAAAACATCAAAGCATCATAGGTGAATCTCAAGAATCAGGCGTCTATTTTACTTGGGAGCGTATAGAGATCCGTTTATTCAATCTTATTAAGGGGAAGATCAATTTTCATATTCTCATATTGGGAAATGCTCACGAGACTCTCTCAAAAGTGAGATTTTCTATAGGCTTTTTGTCATCTCATGGTTTTTACACAAGATTGTATAATGTTGGTATGAGAATTATGTCAAAAACATGAGGTGGCTGAGAGTCCCACTTTGAAAGAGTCTCCTCCTTAGCTAGTATGTGACATCCCACATCGCCCAGGGGAGTGATCCTTAAATATATATTCTCATCCCTACCTAGCACGAGGCCTTTTGGGAGCTCACTGGCTTCGAGTTTCATATGAACTCAGAAGTTAAGCGAGAAGGAGGTCAGAACACTCCCAGGATGGGTGACCCACTGGGAAGTTGCTCGTGAGTTCCCAAAAACAAAACCTTGAGGGAATGGTAAGCTCAAAGCGGACAATATCGTGCTACGGTGATGGAGCGGGCCCGGGAAGTGGTTCGCCCCGGGCCGGGATGTGACAAATGGTATCAGAGCCAATCCTTGGACGGAAGTGTGCCAACGAGGACGTCGGGCCCCTAAGGGGGGTGGATTGTGACATCCCACATCGCCCAGGGGAGTGATCCTTAAATGTATATTCTTATCCCTACCTAGCACGATGCCTTTTGGGAGCTCACTGGCTTTGGGTTCCATAGGAACTTCGAAGTTAAGCAAGAAGGAGGCCAGAGCACTCCCAGGATGGGTGACCCACTGGGAAGTTGCTCGTGAGTTCCCAAAAATAAAACTGTAAGAGAATATTGTGCTACGGTGGTGGAGCGGGCCCAGGAAATGGTCCGCCCCGGGCCGGGATGTGACATGGTAGCTCATTTTTGTTATAAGACCATCTCCAATCCTTGGGGATAAAACTTAAAAATTTAAACAAAAAAATTTTAAGTCATAACCTATAAACTGTTTTTCTTCTCCAACCCTTATGACTTAAAATTTTGGCTCGAGATTATTAAATAATGATTTTAGACTTTTTTTTTTAAATTTTTTTAAAATAAAATTTATGTAGATTATCTTAATTTATTTTTATGAACATTCAAATTCCAATAAGTAATTAAAAATCATACAAATACATAGGTATTTATAAAGTTTTACGCGAAATTTGATTTAAATAATTTTCTTAAATTATTTTAGACGCTAGATTTAATTTTGGGCCATCAAATCTTTTTTTTTTTACCATTAGATTTGATCTTATTTGATCATCGCCATTAGATTATAGTAAGAAAACAAAAAAAAAATGTTTGAAATATGACATTTTGGTGGTTTTAGAATTATTTAAGCCACACTTAATTTCTGGGGAGAATTTAGGTCAGAGATATATTTCTCCACAAGACTTATTTTAGCCCAATAATTAAAGGTGATTTGGGGGTTTTAAAGTTTATATTTTTAC